TGCAGAAGACACTAGGAAATGGAAAGACCTCCCATGCTCTTGGATAGGCCGACTTAATAAAGATGGTAATACTTCCAAAACTAATATACAAATTCAACGCAATTCCTATTAAAATCCCAATGACGTACATCACTGAAATACAGAAAACAGTCCAAAAATTCATATGGAACAACAAAAGACCTAGAATAGCCAAAACAATTCTAGGGGATAAAGACAATATGGGAGGGCTATCCATGCCGAACTTCAAACTCTACTACAGAGCTATAATCACAAAGACAGCATGGTACTGGCACAAAAACAGACCCGAAGACCAATGGAACAGAATAGAATATCCAGAAATAAACCCACAAGCCTACAGCCAGCTGATATTTGACAAAGGAACCAAAGACATACAATGGAAGAAACACAGCCTCTTCAACCGCTGGTGCTGGGAAAACTGGGCGGCCACATGCAGAAAACTAAAAGTGGACCCCAGCCTATCACCATGCACCAACATCAACTCAAAATGGATTAAAGACCTTAACATTAAACCTGAATCTCTGAAACTACTGCAGGACAGAGTAGGAGAGACACTTGAACTAATAGGCACAGGAAGGAACTTCCTGAACAGAGTCCCAGGGTCACAACAAGTTGGAGAGAGACTCGACAAATGGGACTACCTTAAAATAAAAAGCTTCTGCACAGCTAAATCTATCACAACCAAGCTAGAAAGACAACCAACTAATTGGGAAAAAATATTTACCAGCAATATATCAGACAAGGGGTTAACATCCAGTATATACAGGAAACTCAAGAAACTAATCCCTCCCAAACCTAACAAACCAATTACTAAATGGGCAAGGGAACTAAAGAGGGACTTCTCAAATGAAGAAATAAAAATGGCAAAGAAATACATGAGGAAATGTTCATCATCCCTGGTGGTGAAGGAAATGCAAATAAAGACAACCCTGAGATACCACCTCACCCCAGTCAGAATGTCCCACATCCACAAATCAGCCAACGACAAATGCTGGAGGGGATGTGGAGAAAGAGGAACCCTATTACACTGCTGGTGGGAATGTACACTTATACAACCACTTTGGAAAGCAGTCTGGAGGGTCCTTAGAAAGCTAAATATTGACCTCCCTTATGACCCAGTCATACCACTTCTAGGCATCTACCCTGAACAACAGGAACCAGTATATAAAGACACATGCACCTCCATGTTTATTGCAGCACTGTTCACAATAGCTAGGATATGGAAACAGCCCAGATGCCCCATCACAGATGAATGGATCCAAAAATTGTGGTATCTATACATAATGGAATATTATGCAGCCATTAGAAATGACAAAATAATGGCATTTGCAGGGAAATGGATGGAGCTAGAAGGAATCATGTTGAGCGAGGTAAGCCAAGAGCGAAGAGACAAATGGTACATGGTCTCCCTGATAATAGGATGCTAAATCCAAAATGTTAGGTGATACCACAAAACTAACAGGACTTAAGAAACAAAGAACTCCCGCTCATCTGGTTGAACCACTACTAAATATCCCCATGCTGCTGATCACATGTATGGTGTATAACATGTGAACACCATTATATATTATAGACTGTGATAGACAATTTGCTCCAGGAAAGTTAGAATGAACTTGTGACTTTAAATGAGCATCATTATTCCACAATACTGTGAAATTCCAGAAATTATGTAATCACTTAATCACAATAAAAAAAAAAAAAAGAACCTCGGGGAAGGTAGGGAGGGAAGGGATGGTAGGGGGAAAACAATGGAGGGGGTAACAATGTTCAAGAGGAAGTATACTCATTACCTCACTCAAGTAACTGTAACCCTCTGTATAGTATCTTTACAATAAAAAAAAAATTCTGGAGCAGGGCTGGGAAGGTGGCTAAGTGGTAGAGGGCTTGCCTTGCACACCTGAGGCCCTGGGTTCGATTCCTCAGCACCACATAACCAAAAAGAAAAAAAGCCGGAAGCGGCGCTGTGGCTCAAGTGGTAGAGTGCTAGCCTTGCATGCATGAGGCCCTGGGTTCGATTCCTCAGCACCACATAAGCAAAAAGAAAAGAGCCAGAAGTGGCGCTGTGGCTCAAGTGGTAGAGCGCTAGCCTTGAGCTGCAGAGCTGAGGGACAGCGCCCAGGCCCAGAGTTCAGGCCCCACAACCGGACCCAAAAAAAAAAATAAAATTCTGGAGCAGCTAGGAATAAAAGAAAAATATATCAACATAATGAAATATCACACAAAAACTAAAAATATTTCCTCTAAAATTAGGAACAAGATAAGGATGTCAAATCTCCATTCATTTTCAGCATCATATTGGATTTGCTAGTCAGAGCCATAAGGAAAGAGAAAGACATAAAACATTTGTGAATGACATGACTCTATATCTAAAGGACCCTAGAGACTTCACATCTAAGTTTCTAGTCAATAACTTTGGCAAAGTTGCAAAGTGAAAATTAATCCACAAAAGTCAGTAGTAGCTTTTCTTCTCATATGTGGGAACTAGATGTAAAATGTGATAACCTATACAGGACTAGGCATTCACACAAACTAAAGGAAGATACTCTTTGGGGAAGAACCCAAAAGTATAACTTCTCTGAACATTTAAAATATTATTTATCAAAACAAATTCCAGGAAATGGAAACATGGGAGAGGGGGTTGTTATTGTTTGTGGTGGAGGTGGTGTTTGTTTTCACTTTGGGTTGTTTTGTTTTGTTTTGTCTGTCATGGAGCTTGAACTCAGGGCCTGAGTATTGTCCCCAAGCTTTTTTTTTTTTTTTTTTTAATTGTGAAAATACTGTATAGAGGGGTTACAATTACATAGGCAAGATAATGAGTACTGGTCGTGGGGCCTGAACTCTGGGCCTGGGCACTGTCCCTCAGCTCTTCAGCTCAAGGCTAGCGCTCTACCACTTGAGCCACAGCACCACTTCCGGCTTTTTTCTTTTTGCTTATGTGGTGCTGAGGAATCGAACCCAGGACCTCTGGCATGCAAGGCAAGCGCTCTACCACTGAGCCACTTCCCAGCCTATGAGTACATTTCTTATCAAGCATTGTTGCCTCCTCCTTTGTTTCCCCTTCCTATCCCTTCCCATCCTCCATCCGCTCCCCCCTTACCCAATCCTCCCCCACCTCCCCCTGCACCAAAGTTGTAAAGTTCGTTTTTCGACATAACGACTTGTACATCTCATTGTTGCAATGAGTCCACCTGTATCCCTATTTAAACGATTTGTTTTTGCCCTTCCTCTCCACAAATTATACCAACATCAAATACAGTGAAAGCAGGGTTATACCATGGGGGAGGGACATACAAAGCAACAAAGAAATCATCTTATAAATATGTTAGAAACAATCACATGAAAGAAAAAAACATTTGAATACTTATCTTGCGATTCATTTCCTTAACATCAACTTATCTGACCTTTTCTGCTTGTCTCAGACATATACTAGATATTGCAAATAAGGGAAACCATGGGACCTATGTTTATGTGGGCCTGACTTCACTTAATATAATTTTTTCCAAGTCTTTCCATTTCCTAACAAATGGGGCAATGTCATTCTTTCTGATGGAGGCATAGAATTCCATTGTGTATATAGACCATATTTTCTTGACCCATTCATCTGCTGAAGGGCATCTGGGTTGGTTCCATATCTTAGCTATGGTAAATAATGATGCAATAAACATAGTTGTGCTGGTAGCTTTAGTGTGGTTTTGTTTGTGATCGTTTGGGTAAATGCCCAAAAGTGGGATTGCTGGGTCATAGGGGAGCTCTATGTGGAGTCTTTTGAGGAACCTCCATACTGCTTTCCAAAGTGGTTGAACAAGTTTACATTCCCACCAACAATGCAGTAGGGTTCCCTTCTGTCCACATCCCCTCCAGCATCTGTTGTTATTAGAGTTCTTTTTTTTTTTTTCCAGAAAAGGATATTTTTATTCAAGTAACTGCAAATAGGAAACCAAAGGGGGAGCCCCAGGCTGGGACAAGTAATGGCCACACCTCCCCAACAGGACAAGGGGAGACAGTGGCCCCTACACCCTTCACACAATCAACATGGACCCCCCAAACTCAGCTGCAGCATCCTCGGGGCAGGACCCCACCTGGGGTGGTCTGCAACCCAGCCTGCTGTGCCCCAGACCCCTTTCCCCCATGAAGTATCCTGGGGGAGGAGGGGACCGTGGGCTGAATGGGAGGCTATGAACTGAATGTTTGGCGCTGGTAGCAACAGCAATGATGGATGTCTAAGAATGAAACATTGAACAAAAAAATCAACACAACTGTCCAGAGGTAGTTTGTGAACAGAGGAAAAGATGGAACCAGAACCTTGGGGGGTGGGCAGGCGAGGGAGGGGGTGGGCAGGACGAGCTCCTTATTAGTGCCCCACAGATGAGGGGAACCGCCTCGAGCAGAAGTGGGGATGCTAGATCCCATGGGAAAGCTGGGGGGGGGGGGCCCACCTCTTGCCCTCTTACCTGTTCCCCACAAGGGGTTGTCCCACCCAGTGCAGGGGAGCAGGGGAGGTGAGGGAGAGCAGTGTGGGCCGCTGGGGACAGTTTGGCTGGGGGTTGAATACCCCGTTGATGCCAGTATAGCCAGAGTGGGCATGTCAAAATGGGTGGGGCATGGGCCCCCCGGTAAGGCCAGGGGAGCCCTCCCAGGCCCCTTTAAGGGAAGCTAGAGGCAACAGTGGAGGAGCAGAGCAAGTTCCCAAACCAAGAGCTCAGAGAGCAATTTCTCCACAAGGGAGTGGGGGCGCAGCAGGTGCACGCTGCGGCTAAGTGGGAAGTTAGCCTTGTCTGGGAGAGGCCGGTGTGCGTGGCTGGAAGGGCGCGGGGAGGTGGAGGAAAGCACTCCCCACTCGCCACAGGAGCCCTGCCGCGCTGGTGTGCTGTAGTGTGCGTGGGGAGGGCGCATGGGCGCTGGGGGCAGTTTGGGGCGGGGGGAGGGAAGGGGGCTGTGGGAGCTGAACGAAGCTGCACAGTCCCAGAGGGAAGCTGCTCCTGGCCAGGGAGCGGTCGGCACTGTGCGGTCACTGCTCCTCCTCTGAGGACTCCTGGGAGATGCCCTCTTCTTCCTCCTTCTCCCGTTTTTTGGGTCTGCCCCTTGGTTCCCTTCCTGGAGCTGTGGTGGTTTTCCGGGTCTTGGCAGCACCCTTGTTTTTGTTTCCCTTTGGTCGGCCGCGAGGTCTCTTAGGTGTTGGCACTTCACTGCGTTCCTTCCGAGGCTGCTTACATGGCCTGCCCCGGCCTCGCTTCTCAGTACAGTCCTTTTCCTGCTTGGAGGCCAAGGGCTGACTGGACTTCGAGCTCGACTCACTCATCTTTCACTTTGGAGGTCAACAGCGATGCTGGGATGCGCGAGCTCGGCGGCCGGCCGGCGGTGCGCGCTCGCTCGGGGCTGCCGGGAGCGACGGTGCTGGCGCTGAGGACCAGCCTGGCTCCGCCGCCGCAGCTGGTAGCAAATGCGGATCTGAAACCGGGAGAGAGGGCAGAGTCGCTCAGAGACCGCCGCCGCCGCTGTGTACTCCTAGAGTTCTTGATTATAGCCATTCTAACTGGGGTGAGGTGGTATCTCAATGTTGTTTTGATTTGCATTTCTTTTATGGCTAGGGAGGTTGAGCATTTCTTCGTGTGTCTATTGGCTATCCTTCTTTCCTCTTCAGAGAGCTTTCTCTGTAAGTCTTTAGCCCACTTATTTTTTGGGCAGTTGTTTCTTTGAGGATTTGTTGTTGGGGGATTTAATTTATTGAGTTCCAAGTATATTTTAGATATGAGACCCTTGTCCGTTGTATGGCTAGTGAAGATCTTCTCCCAATCCGTGGGCTTTCTATTGATCTTGCTAACTATGTCCTTTGCCATGCAGAAGCTCTGCAATTTCATTCAATCCCATTTGTCCAACCTTTCTTTGATTTCTTGTGTTTCTGGGTCTCTATTAAGAAAATTTCAGCCGGTGCTAAGGACAATGTAGGGTTTCTCCTATTCCATCCTGTAATGTTTTCAGAGTGTCTGCTTTGACTCCCAAGGTCTTTGATCCATGTGGAGTTGATTCTGGTGCAAGGTGATACATAAAGATCTAGCTTTATAGTTTTCTACAAGTAGTTAACCAATTTTTCCAGCACCATTTACTGAAGAGACTGTCTTTCTTCCATTCTATTGTTTTAGCTCCCTTATCAAAAATTAGATGGCTGTAGGTCTGTAGGTTCATTTCTGGATTTTCAATTCTATTCCATAGGTCCTGAGGTCTGTTCTTGTGCCAGTACCAAGCGTTTTGATTACTATGGCTTTGTAGTAGAGTTTGAAATTTGGTACTGATGTCCCCAAGCTTTTTTGCTCAAGGCTAGTGCTCTACTACTTTGAGTCATAGTTCCACTTCTGATTTTTAGGTGGTTAATTGGAGATTAGAGTCTCATCGGGGCTGGGCATGTGGCTTAGTGGTAATGTTTGACTAGCACGCATGAAGCCCTGGGTTCTATTCCTCAGTACCACATACATAGAAAAAGCTGAAAAGTAGCACTGTGGCTAAAGTGGTAGAGTGCTAGCATGAGTACAGAAGCTAAGGGACAGTCTGAATTAAAGCCCAGGACTGGAAAAAAAAAAAAAAGAGTCTTATGGTCTTTCCTGCCCAGTCTGGCTTCAAACTGCAATTCCCAGGTCTCAGCCTCTTGTGTAGTGTAAGGAAACGCCCACCTCTCAGCCCAGTAGGTGAGGCAGTTCCCACTTCTGCCCCCCCCCCATATAAAAGAAGCCTCCACGGAGCCAGATGGTGCCGTTTTCTCCCTTTCCTCATGAGAACTAGGCCTTGTTAGCTCTGCTGACAATAAATCTTTTCTTCTTCTTGACCTGTGCATGTGGACTTTTGGATTACTTTCTTTGGGTTACTTTATACCTAGGTTTACATTTTCTCCTTCAGTTAGGATTAGAGGTGTAAGCCACCAGCATCTGGCTTTGGGTTTTTTCTTGTTTGTTTGTTTGTTGTTGGTCATGGGCCTTGAACTCTGGGTCAGGGTGGGTCCCTGAGCTCTTCAGCTCAAGGCCAGCACTCTACCACTTGAGCCACAGTGCCACTTCCAGGTTTTTGGTGGCGACTGGAGATAAGAGCCTCAACACACTTTCCTGCCCGGGCTGGCTTTGAACCGCGATCCTCAGATCTCAGCCTCCTGAGTAGCGAGGATTACAGGCATGAACCACTGGCACCCGGCTTTCTTGTTTGTTTTTTTGAGGAGGAGAGTGAGGGGGTGAGCAGAAAGGAAAGAAGAAAGAACAAATGCAATCACTGTTCAGTATACACTTCGTGGAAAATGAAGTATGCAATTTGTGGGCAGGAATAAGAGGGGAAAATTAAAGGAAAGCAAAACAAGGGTAACATTGCCCTTGCACACATTACTTCTTTTCAACAATGTTAATAAAAATAGTAAAATTATATTATGTTAATATTAAGAGCATTAATAATGACAATAAAATTATATTGTTATTATGTAACACATACATAATAATAAAATTATATTTTTTAATCAGTAGCTTTTCTATATAACAATAATGTGCAGAAAGAGAAATCAGGAAAACAATTCCATATGCAATAGCCTCAAGAAAAAAATTAGGAAGTGAACCTGTACAGCAAAAACTATAAAAATCTGAAAAAAAAACTCTGGCATTAGTGGCTCAAACTTGTAATCCTAGCTACGCAGGAGGTTGAGATTTGAGGATTATAGTTCAAAAACAACCTAGGCAGGAAAGTCTGCGAGACTCTTATTGCCCTCTAACTACCAAAAAGCCAGACATGGTGCTATGGCTCAAAGTAGTAGAGCACATGCAGAGGGACAGCGCCCAGGCCGTGAGTTCAAGCCCTAGAACTGGCAAAAAAAAAAAAAAAAATCTGAAGAAATTGAAGCCAGGAGCTGGTAGCTCATGCCTGTCATCCTAGCTATTCAGGAGGCTGAGATCTGGGGATCGCGGTTCAAAGCCAGCCCAGGCAGGAAAGACCGTGAGACTCCTATTTCCAATAAACCACCAGAAAACCAGAAGTGGCATTGTAGCTCAAGTGGTAGAGCACTTGCCTTGAGCTGAAGAGCTGAGGGACAGTGCCCAGGCCCAGAGTTCGAGCTCCACAACCGACAAAAAAAAAAAGAAAAGAAAAGAAAAAGAAAAATTGAAGAAGGCGCCAAGAAATTGAAAGACCTCCAATGTTCATAGATAATTAGAGTTAAGATAATTTTTTAAATGGTCATACTGCCAAAGTCAATCTTCAAATTCAGTGTAATACTCATCAAAATCCCAGTGTTCATCACCAAGATAGAGAACAGAATCCAAAAGTTCATGTGGAACCACAAGAGACCCTGAGTAGTCAAAGCAATTTTAAAGAGAAAAGAAAAGGCCGTGCTGGAAATATTACAATTCTAGACCTTAAACTTTACCACAGAGTTATAATAACAAAACAGCTTGGTACTGTCATTTAAAAAAAAAAAAAAAGCCCTAATACCAATAGAATAGACTGGAAGGAAGACTCAGAAATAAACTCAGATACTTACAGTCATTCGATATTTGACAAGGGAGCAAAAAATATTATGTTGGAGAAAAGGTTCCTCAATAATTGGTACTGAAAAGGTTCTTGCAATAATTGGACATCCATATGTAAAAGACTTAAATTGCACCAATATCAACTCAAAATGGATCAAAGACCTCAACATCAGACTGAAACTTTGAAACTACTACAAGAAGGAGTAGAATAAACTTTAGAACTTATCAGCCTTCCTTGCATGCATGAGGCCCTGGGTTTGATTCCTCAGCTCCACATAAGCAGAAAAAAAAAAAAAAAAAAGCTGGAAGTGGCTCTGTGGCTCAAGTGGTAGAGCGCTAGCCTTGAGGTGAAGAGCTGAGGGTCCAGAGTTCAGGCCCACAACTGGACCCCCCAAAAAAAAGAAGAAGAAGAAGAAAGAACTTATCAGCCTAGGCAGAAACTTTCTGAAGAAAGTCCCAGGAGCACAACAAATAGGAAAGAGACTTGACCAATGGGATGACATCAAACTAAAAAGTTTCTGCACAAAAATGGATATAGTTACTAAACTAAAATGTCAGTCAACAGGATGGGAGAACATCTTTACCAGCTATACATTCAACAAGGACCTAATATCCAAAAGATACAAGGAGCTCAAGAAACTAAACTTCCCCAAATTAATAACCCAATCAATAAACGGCAAAGTAGCTAAATAGAAACTTCTCCGAAGAAGTAAGAATGGCCAATAAACACATGAGAAAATGTGCAACTTCCCTGGCCATAAAGGAAATGCATATCAAAGCAACACAGATTCCATCTCACTCTAGTAGGATTGACCAGCATCAAGAATATAAACAGCTGGGCACTGGTGGCTCACACCTGTAATCCTTTGCAGGAGACAGATCTGAGGATTGTGTTTCAAAGCCAGCCTGGGCAGGAAAGTCTATGAGACTCTTACCCTAGTACTGTGGCTCAAGTGGTAGAGGGCTACCCTTGAACACAGAGGCTCAGGGACAGTGCCCAGGCATTGAGTTCAAGCCCCAGGACCAGCAAAAAAAAAAAAAAAAAGAACACAAACAATAAGTCAGGAGCTGGTGGCCCATACCTATAATCCTAGCTACTCAGGAGGCTGAGATCAAGGATTGAAGTTAAAAGCCAGCCGGGGCAGGAAAGTCTGCAAGACTCTTTTTTTTTTTTTTTTGAGTCCGGTTGTGAAGCCTGAACTCTGGGCCTGGACACTGTCCCTCAGCTCTTCAGCTCAAGGCTAGCTCTCTACTATTTGAGCCACAGCGCCACTTCCGGCTTTTTTCGTTTTGCTTATGTGGTGCTGAGGAATCGAACCCAGGGCCTCTGGCATGCAAGGCAAGGGCTCTACCACTGAGCCACCTTCCTAGCCCATCTGCAAGACTCTTATCTCCACTTAACTACTGTAAGAGCTGGAAGTGGAGCCCTGGCTTAAGTGGTAGAGTGCTAGCCTTGAACCAGGACAGTGCAGTGTGTAGGCCTTGAGTTGAAGCCCCAGTACCAGCACCAAAAAAAAATCATAATAAAATACAAACAATAAGAAATGCTGGCAGGGGTGTAGAGAGAAAAAGTAACCCTCTTACATTGCTGATGGCAATGTAATAACTAGTACAACCACTCTGGAAGGTGGTTTGGAGATTCCTCACAAAAATAAACTTGGACACTGACTTAAGTTAGAGAGAATTAACTTTTCCCTGTATAAACTTATTATCAATATATAAATTTATTTAATTTTGAAACATTTTCCTCTTAATAGATAAAAGCCAAAGCTCGTTTTAAAAAGAGAAAAAACTAAACTTGGAGCCAGGTACTAGTGGCTCCTGTAATCCTAACTACTCAGGAGATTGAAATCTAAGGATGAAGATTTGAAACAAGCCTAGGCAGAAAAATCCATGAGACTCTTATTTCCAATTAACCACAAAAAGCCAGAAGTGGAGATTCAAGCACAAAAGTTCAGGAACAGTGCCCAGCCAGAGGTCAAGCCCTAGGATGGCAAAAAAAATCTAAACATAGAACTACTCTATGATCCAGCCATACCACTCTTGAGCCTCTACCCAGAGCATTACAAGTCAGGATATGGTAAGGATACTTGTACATCCATGTTCATTGTTGCACTATTCACAAAAGTGATGTTGTGGAAACATCCCAGATGCCCTAAGATAGATGAGTGGGTCAAGAAAATGTAGTACAGGCTGAGAAGGTGGCTCAGTGGTAGAGTGCTTGCCTTGCATGCCTGAGGCCCTGGGTTCAATTCTTCAGGACCACATAAGCAAAAAGAAAAAAGCTGGAGTGGCTCAAGTGGTAGAGCACTAGCCTTGAGCTGAACAGCTGAGGGACAGCGCCCAGGCCCAGAGTTCAGGCCCCACGACCGGACCCAAAAGAAAAAAAAAGAAAAGAAAAGAAAATGTAGTACATTTATACAATAGAATTTTACTCATCCATTAGAAAGAATATGGGTTGGAGTCATGGCTTAGTTGATTGAGTGCTAGCAAGTGAGAAAAAGTATCAGGTGTCAAGTTTGAATGCCAGACTCACACCTAAAAAAAGAAGAAAATAACCGGGTACAAGGTTCACGCCTATAATCCTAGCTACCCAGAAGGCTGAGATCTGAGGATCATGGTGCAAAGCCAGCCTGGACAGGAAAGTCCATGAGACTCTTATCTCCAATAAACCACTAGGAAACCAGAAGTGGTGGTGTGGCTCAAGTGGAAGAGCACTTGCCTTGAGCTAAAGAGCTAAGCAACAGTGCCTACCTGGGCAGCAAAATCCATGAGACTCCTATCTTCAATTAACCACCAGAAAACCAAAAGAAGTAACTCTGTGGTTCAAAGTCGTAGAACACTAACCTTGAGCAAAAAAGCTCAGGGACAGTGCCCAGGCCCTGAGTTCAAGCCCTACAACTGACAAAAAAAAAATGAATTTCCAGCTGTTGGGTTTAAATATGTTTGGCTATGTGGCATGTGGCTGCATATAATATTGCATATCACACTAAATTATGCTACCTGAAGTAGTAGAACAGCAAAACACAATAAAAGACCAGGATGTGAGAAGGAAATGCCAACAATTTTAACTTTTTTCATTCCCACCTGAAGAAGTCTTGAGCTGTGCAATTAATTTAGTTAACTGTCATCATCATGGTTCAATTAAGCTTATTCTATACAATATGTTAGCCCTTTCCAAGTCAGTCCCAGAAAAAGAAATCCTGCTTTCCTACTTAATTCCTATTTGATAGACAGTTCTAAACCAGGAAACAGGTGACACTGAGAATTCTGAACCCACAATCTCTTGGAAGGTCAAATCTTAAATGAAGGTTAAGTTGTGATTTCTGAAGTAAATTACAAGTATCACTAATCAGGCTATGGCTCTGAGAGAAAAAATACAGAATTTTTAATGGTACTGAGATTAAAATTCAAGGCTTCATGCTTGCGAGGCTGGTACTCTATCACTCAAGCCACACCTCCAACCCTGTTTCTTGCTGGTTACCCTCAAGAAAGGATCTCTAACTTTCCCGCCCAGGCTGTCCTTGATCAACAATCCTTTGGCTCTTAGCCAGCTAGCATTATAGTCATGAGCCACCAGCATGGGCTCCACACACACATGCTTTTGGCCATTCCTGCTCACAGGTTAGTCAGCACGCCATTATAAATTCTGTTTACTTCTGAGCCAAACTTGTCCTGCCACCTCTTTTTTTCACAACTTGTATTCTTTTTTTTTTTTTTTTGGTCAGTCCTGGGGCTTGAACTCTGGGCTTGGGCACTGTCCCTGTGCTCTTCATCTCAAGGCGAGCGCTCTACCACTTGAGCTACAGCACCACTTCCAGTTTTCAAGTGGTTTATTGGAGATAAGAGTCTCACGAACTTTCCTGCCCAGGCTGGCTTTGAACCGCAATCCTCAGATCTCAGCCTCCTAGTAGCTAGGATTACAGGCATGAGCCACCGCCGCCCGGCTCACAACTTGTATTCTAACAAGAATTTTTATGTAATTTGGAAAATACAGGGCTGGGGAGGTGGCTCAGTGGTAGAGCGCTTTCCTTGCATGCATGAGGCCCTGGGTTCGATTCCTCAGCATCACATAAGAAAAAAGAAAAAAGCTGGAAGTGGTGCTGTGGCTCAAGTGGTAGAGTGCTACCCTTGAGCTGAAGAGCTGAGGGACAGCGCCCAGGGCCAGAGTTAAGGACCCAGACCGGACCCCCCCCCCCCAAATTAAAAGAAAATAGGGAAAATAAATTAATGTATGGAAGGTTCTGGTCAAGGTGTTGGGAAAGAAAAAAGGAATTATCCTAGCTCTCTCTAATCAACTAGATTTAGAGTCCTAGCATGCATTTCATCCCAAGAGATCGACAACAAGAAAAATATAAACAGACAGAGAATCACAAGAACAAAGAATTTCTACCTAACACACACAAGGACACAAAACTGTGAAGTGCCTTTCTTAACCCCCCCCCCCCCCCCACACACACACACACAGCTGCCCAGGCCTAACCAAAGAAACAGCAGCATGCAGATGCAGAAAGCTTCCACAGTGATAGCACACAGTGAACCAGCAGCATGAGACTGTAGCATCCAGCCCCAAAGACCTTCCACAGCACTGCCAGTCAGTCCAACCAATGTCAGGAACTGTGAGTACCCTGCGGAGGACCCCATCCTACAGGAGAACAGCACTCGGGGTGACCCACTGTGCTTGGCCTGGACCTCTCCCTCTTGCCTGAGAAATGACACCATACTTGAAGAAAGCAAAGAGGCCTGAACCCTTCCTTATCCCCTTACCCATCTACTTCCAGTAGAAGACCACCAGGACCAATACCAGGTGGGCACTAAGACCCTTTATCCCCCACAGTCCTGGCTCCTGGTAGGCCTGCTAAAAGACAATAGCGGCAGTGGGGGGACCACCTTCCCAACTTACCCCAGAGGCCTGAACTGCAGACCTGTTTCCCTGATGAACACAGATGCAAAGCTCTTCAAAATACTAGCCAACAGACTCCAGAAAAAGAAAATCAGAAAAAAGTCATATATTATGACCAAGTAGGCTTCAGCCCCCAGACAAAAGGCCAATTTAACATATATAAATTAATAAATGTTATTCACCACATCAACAGAGCCAAAGACAAGACAAAAAGCAACATCGATTCATGTTACATTGAAACTACTAAACATTTAAACTACTGCAAGAGAAAGTAGAGGAAACATTAGAACTTATAGGTATTGATAGAGTCCCAGGAGCACAACAGATAGGAGAAGGACTTGACAAATGGAACTGCATAAAAATTAAAAGTTTTGGGGCTGGGAAGGTGGCTCAATGGTAGAGCGCTTGCCTTGCATGCCTGAGGCCCTGGGTTCAATTCCTCAGCACCACATAAGAAAAAAGAAAAAAGCCGGAAGTGGCACGATGGCTCAAGTGGTAGAGCGCTAGCCTTGAGCTGAAGAGCTGAGGGACAGAGCTCAGGCCCAGAGTTCAGGCCCCATGACGGGACCCAAAAAACAAAATTTTAAAGTTTCTGCACAGCTAAGGATATAGTTATTAAACTAGAAAGACAACCAACAAACTGGGGGAAGATCTTTACCAGCAAAATATCAGACAAAGGCCTAATATCCAATATATACAAGGATCTCAAGAAACTAAATCCTCCCAAACCTAATAAACTAGTCATTAAATGGACAAGTGAGCTAAGGAGAGACTTCTCAGGTAAGAATGGCAAAGAAACACATGAGGAAATGCTCATCATCTGGCCATAAAGGAAATACAAATCAAAACAACTGAGATTCCATCTCACTCCAGTAAGATTGGTCAACATTGTAAATTCAAACAACAAATGTTGGCATGGATATGGGAGGAAAAGGAGCCCCACTGCACTGTTGGCAGGAATATAAACTAATAGGACCACTCTGGACAGCAGTCTGGAGGTTCCCCAAAAAACTAAACATAGACCTTCCTTCCCTACAATCCAGCCATAACACTCCTGGGCATCTACCCTGAACATCAAGAGCCAGGATATGATATAGACACCTGCACATCCATGTTCATTGATGCACTATTCACAATAGCCACGATAAGGAAATAGCCCAGATGCCCCAGAATAGATGTGGTACCTATCTATACACAATGTAATTTTACACAGCCATTAGAACGAATAAAACAATGTTATTTGCAGGATAATGAATGGAACCAGAACAAATCATGTTAAGTGAAGCAAGCCAAGCTCAGAGAGACAAACATTGCACATTCTCTTTGATATGTAGATATTAGATCTAAAATGTACCAGGATATGATAAAGTATTCAGAATTCTAGATACTTAAACACAGTGAGACCAAAAGAGAATACGCTTAGGAGGGAAACACAAAGGTGAAATACCTAAGTGCTCTTCATATTTATCAAAAATAATACGCATACTGAAATGAACTCCAGGATATTGAAACAAGAGACTTCTTTTCCCCCTTTCTTACTTTCTTCCTCCCCCCTCCAGTTTTTGGTTTTTGATGACTCTGTCTTCTTTACCTTAGGTATGGTATATTTAAGTGTACATCTTTGGAAAGGGAGGGAGAGCACAGAAATCAAGGGGAAAGGGTGAAAAGTGCAGTAGTGGTATTCACTGGACACTGATGAAAATGAACTATACAACTTGTGGGTGGAGATAGGAGGGAGGGACTGGGAGAGAATGAGGGAACAGAAGACACTGTATGAAGGGAAATGTATACATTACCTGACTCATGTAATTGTAATCCCCCTCTGTATATCACCTCTATAATAACAATAAAGTAAATTTGTTGTGGGGAAGAGCACCAGGAGAGACCACATAGACATACAGTACAGTCGATAGAAAGTCTTTATTAGGGACTAAGAATGTGGCTTAGTGGTAGAGTGCTTGCGTAGTATGTATGAAGCCCTGGGTTTGATTCTCAGTACCACATACACAGAAACAAGCCAGAAGTGGTTCAAGTGGTAGAGTGCTAGCCTTGAGAAAAGAAGTCCAGGGACAGTGCCCCGGCCCTGAGTCAAGCACTAGGACAGGAAGAAAGAAAGAAAAAGAAAGGTGCTGGGAAGGTGGCTCAGTGGTAGAGTGCTTGCCTTGCATGCATGAGGCCCTGGGTTCGATTCCTCAGCACCACATAAGCAGAAAAAGCCAGAAGTGGCACTATGGCTCAAGTGGTAGAGCACTAGCCTTGAGCTGAAGGGCTGAGGGACAGCGCCCAGGCCCTGAGTTCATGCCCCATGACCAACAGAGAGAGGGAGGGAGGAAGGAAGGAAGGAAGGAAGGAAGGAAGGAAGGAAGGAAGGAAGGAAGGAAGGAAGGAAGGAAGGAAGGAAGGTAGGAAGGAAGGAAGGAAGGAAGGAAGGAGAAAGTATTTATTACCATCCAGGACTACACTGGGCAATCAGGTGCCCAAAAGTGCAGTCCCAAGCCTGACCTCATGGCCTCTTTTAAAGTAGAAAACCTGGGGCTGGGAAGGTAGCTCAGTGGTAGAGCACTTGCCTTGCATGCATGAGGCCCTGGGTTCGATTCCTCAGCACTACATAAGCAAAAAGAAAAAAAAGCCAGAAGTGGCACTGTGGCTCAAGTGGTAGAGTGCTAGCTTTGAGCTGAAGAGGTGAGGGACAGCACCCAGACCTGGAGTTTAGGCCCCACGACTGGACCCAAAAAAAAATTAAAAAAAATAAATAAAGTAGAAAACCTATCTCCTTATTTGCTCAGGGATGGAAAATCCCTAACAATTCTTTCCTGCAGGTGCAAGCCAAGCAGAAAGTTACAGAAGCTTAAACATAAGCAAGCATTGAGTGAGGACAGCATGACCCATTTCTATGATTCATCTCTATGACTTCTTACCTAGGAACACAAACAGAACAGTGGATACATATATTTTTAAATGCCAAACTATGGGCTGGGCCTGGGTTCAATTCCTCAGTACCACATACACAGAAAATAAAAAACCGAAAGTGGTGCTGTGGCTCAAGTGGTAGAGCGCTAGCCTTGAGCAAATCTCAGGGACAGTGCCCAGACCCTGAGGACCAGCAAAAATAATAAATAAATAAAATAATCCAAACTATAACGAACTAGTCTCATGGGTGGCAGTGCAGTCCTTTCTTTAAAATGGAGTCATAGCACATGAAGAAATGCTTCTCTAGCCATAAAAGAAATGCAAATCAAAACCACATTGAGATTCTACCTCACCCCCATTAGAATGGCTATAATCAAAAAATCTAATAACAACAGATGCTGGAGGGGATGTGGCCAGAAAGGAACCTTACTGCATTGTTGGTGGGAGTGTAAACTTGTCCGGCCACTCTGGAAATCAGTATGGAGGTTCCTCAAAAGACTCCAGATAGAGCTCCCCTATGACCCAGCAATCCCACTCCTGTACATACACCCAAATGATCACAAACAAGGCCACAGTAAAGCTATCACCACAAGTATGTTTATTGCAGCATTATTCATCATAGCTAAGATGTGGAACCAACCCAGATGCCCCTCAGTAGATGAATAAATCAAGAAAATGCGGTATATATACACAACAGAATTCTATGCCTCCATCAGAAAGAATGGCATTGCCCCATTTGTTAGAAATGGAAAGACTTGGAAAAAATCATATTAAGTGAAATAAGCCAGGCGCAAAGAAACATAGGTCTCATGGTTTCCCTTATTTGCAATAACTATTATATGTCTGGATAATCTTACCAGACAAGCAGAAAAGGTCAAAAGCTCTGTACATATGACCATATAAGATAAAGCTAAAGGAAATGAACCCCAAGATAGGGACACAAGAGGTATTTTTTCTTTGTCGCTGTTGTTTTTAATGTACTATGATTTTTTTGTTTCTTTTGCATGTTCTTCCCCGATGGTATAACCCCTGTTGTCACTGCATTTGATTCTAGTGCCCTGCATCTTGTATATTAATTTTTCTAATTTGGGGAGGGGAAGGGAAATAACAAGGATACAGATTGATCCATTGAAACAATGAGATGTACAAGACACTATTTGAAAATGAATTTACAACTTAGGTGGGTGGAAGGGAGGAATTGGGAGATGGGGGAGGGAAGGGATAGTAGGGGAAAAACAAAGGAAGGGGAACAGTGCTCCATAGGAAATGGATTCATTACCTTACTCGTGTAACTGTAACCCCTCTGTACAGTACCTTTACAGTAAAAAAAATTTTTTAAGTTATAAAAATATAAAATAAATAGATGGGGTCACAGAAGCAAAATGGAGTTACAGAAGCTAAAAGTAAACTCTAAGATGGTAAGGTTTGACAAACCCTATTATAAATTGATAAAATTTAAAAATATGTTATGACACATGTAATGTGTTCAAACTTCAAATTTCAGCATCTATATTTATAATCATAGCTACACCTATTTGTGTATGTATTGCTTACCTAAATGGCTGTTTTCATGAACGATGACAGAATTGAGTAGCTATCACAGAGACTTTATAGTTCTCAAGGTCAAAAATATTATCTGGCCCTTTAGGGAGGAAACTTGAAACATCTGCTCCAAACACTTTGAAATAAATGAGGCTTAGAAGCTTTAGGGATTATAAAAAAAAAAAAAACACTTGGAAAAAAATAATCCTAGGCCATTCAGGACATAGACCTTCCCCAAATCATTGGAGAAAATTTGGAAAGGGGGATCAGACAATTCCAAAGATAAAACTATCCTTGACTAGATAATACTAGAAGATAAGACTAGAAGAAAGGAAGTGACATCAATCATAAAGCATCCAAAGAAATGAGATTGAGTTATGTAACTGTAACCCCTTAGTTCATCACCTTTTCAATAAAAAAAAAAAGAAATGAGATGAAGAAATACTAAAATCACTATTCAAAGTAAACAAGAAAATATTACTTCTCAAAGAGTATCACTTAAAATATTGCAGATGATAGTTGGATTAGAAGATTTTTTCATGTCCCTTTGACCCTAAGAATCCATATTTCTTCCAGTTTATGAGGATTAAATCATCATAGAATTTAAAAAGAAATATGGATTTCTTAAAATGTAACTGCAATAAGAAAACATTTCCTGACCTGTGAAAATCACATTAACTTTCTTCTTTTTTTTTCTCCAAACCTGTTTTGAAACAATAGATCTGAAATCACCAACAAACCCTGGTAATACTCCCTATAGATTGATGCTACAAAGTTGTGTGTGGTGGGAGGGAGAGGAGGAGAACTAGAATCTAGGAGACTAGAATCTAAGAGTCTCCCAGGAAAAAGACTGCAGATATTAATCTTTTCTTTGCACAGGGGTTTATTACGATATTCCCCAAGCTAAAGGTCTCACATAGCATAATTAACTCTGTGGGGAAAAAGTAATTCTAATTTGGGGAGGGACCAATAGTAGTTACCTTTAGTAGGAGGAAAATATCTACAAATAAGCAGAAAGATTAAAAAATAATTCAAGTTTCAGTACTATGGCCCTTCAATCCAGCCAAAATGAATTGAGTCTTCCGCCATGAGCTCTTCACAATAACTACTGCAGATCATGTGAGATGATGGAATCTCTCTGGCAATTTGCTCTGGGTTGTATCCCTTCTTTCATATTTCAAAAATACTGGAGGGGCTGGGAAGGTGGCTCAGTGTTAGAGTGCTTGCCTTGTATGCATGAGGCCCTGGGTTCCATTCCTTAGCACCACATAAGCAGAAAAAGCCAGAAGTGGCGCTGTGGTTCAAGTGGTAGAGCGCTAGCCTTGAGCTGAAGAGCTGAGGGACAGCACGCAGGCCCAGAGTTCAGGCCCCACAACCGGCAAAAAGAAAATACTGGAATGGATGCTGATCCAGCTAGGTGAAGAATGACTTCTTCTTCCTCAGGTAGCACCTATCACTGTACTAAATCCCATTTTCTATAGGCTTGATTGCTAATGTACAAAGAAAGTAGAGAGAGAAGAAGATACTCCCAAATATAGATGACCACAGAGTATGTTTCAGATACAGACAGATGTTGGG